CCCTCAGAGTCTATGGGCATCTCATCTACATAGATGTTTGTCCTCTTACTTTCCATGTGGGGTTCCATGTGCTGCCAGCAGAAGGTGACCAGTTATTCCAGGAAAGTTAGGAAAGGTACACCTCTTCTGATTAATCTGGATGATCTGGTCTCTTAGACCTCCACATAGATGACACACAGAGATCAGTATATCTTGATTTTTATTAAGGGTAATCAGTGCAAAGAGGTCACGAGAGCAAAGGTGACACTAACATGAATTTGAAAAAGAAAAAAGTTGTTCTTCTTTTATCAGAGCCAGCCCCTCTTTTATTGACTCCAGTCTGAGAGACAGGATGCTTGACTTGTAGAAACAAGAGACAGCACAGGGCAAAGCTGGTGGAGAGAAAGGTTTCCCTGCTCATCTTGGAAGTATTTAGACTGTGCAAGTTGGATCCGTCCCTTTCCAGACATTGAATGGCTTATAGAAATGAAACAGCAACTTCTTTAAAGACTTTGGAGTCACCTGGTGCTTCATCAAACAATCACCCAGTTCCCACCTTTGGGCCCAGCTCACCCACAGGGTATGAAAGCCCAGGACAAGAAGGGAGTTCTCATCCATTACCTCAGGACCATTCACTCATAGCGATCTGTGCATTTCTGTCCTGCCACCAAGGACCTTTGGCTTTCATCTCTGGTTTAGCAATTTGCACCCAGGAAGCCCTAAAGAATCCAAAATGTGTCTTTCATATATCACAGATGCCCCCACACCTAGACCTTGGGACTCCAGAGTGGTGCTGGCTTGCCATCTTTGGGTCCCCTAGCTATTGCAACTTGCAGTTGATACTTTATTTCATATTATTTGTTCAGAGCTTTACAAAATTGAAAACAAAACAAAAAAAAAAAAAAAACCCTTGATTACTTGTTTTTCAGTTTTGAAAACTGAAAGTAGACCCAGTTTAAGAAGCCCAACAATCTGAGTGTGTCCCTAACTGGTTTAAGGGTTGCAGCAGACAAGAGAAAAATGATGTAAATGCACTAAAATGAGTCAAAAAGAAACTCATACAGCACAACGTGCATTGTGCCAACACAAAATTAAGACTGGGTTCAGAGAGGGATTACTTCAGTCAAGTCACATTGTTATTGTAAAGATTACTGAGTTGAATGCAATATCTAGGCCAAGTATACAGCCGCCTAAACATAAGCATCATTTTATCTAGAACAGACAGCGTTACTGAATGAACATATATATATATAAAATACTGTACACTGCTTCCACATGGGACCAGCAGGCGTAAACAAACAGCTAATTCAACTGGACTTTAAAGTATTTAAGTTCACTTGTTAGATAGTATTTTGCATAACATGCCAGCTTGTCCATCACAGAACCATACCCTGCTTCTCACAGCTAGCGGGGCCTGGTAGAAGATGCACATCAGCTTATACAAATATTTTACAATAGTCTGAGGCACGTGAACAACAAAGTGTAGACCAGGAACTAAAATGCCCATTACCGGAGCTGCTAAATAACATGGAAATGGGAGCATAATTGATCCTTGCCACATGTGCTTCTTTATTGAATGTTACAGATTCATAAATGATTATAAAGCTGTCCTGTAACGTTCATTAATACAACCACATGCTACAACTATGCTGGGTTAAACACAGGTTACAGATAGGTTTACATGTGTTTTATAATACAGCATTGCCCAACATGTCTCATGGCATAGCCTATAGATATAGCATGGTGGATAACTGGATAATAATTGTCTTGAAAGAAATCAAACAATAGCTCAAATATCCAGGAAGATTAGACCATACAGCCGCAGAAAGGAGAAAGAAACGTACTATCCAGTGATCTACCATAATGTTATCTATAGAAATCAAATTTTAAAAGTACATTTGTAACATTCAGAAGAAACACATTTTGTGTTTTCACAAGTACACCCCCCTCCCATTTCATTATTCGGGTATATGTATGTATATATATATGTATATATTTATTTTAGGGGAAACTTTCAAAGTGCTAAATAATATCTGGCCCTGGAAGCTTCAACTTTAAAGAAACCCAGTTCTATAAAGTGCCACACTCTGACCGTCCTCCTTTGGGCTTGCAGACACACTAACAGGCCATGACAATAACCCTCTTGCTTTCTAGCACTCCACTCAAACCTATCAGTTTCTAACCGTAAATATAAAATATGGCCATTTTTATAAAACATCTTAATTTCTTTCCCCAAAGGAACAAGCAAGCAGTTTAGAACAAATCATTACACATCGCAGTATATAAAAATTGGCACCTATGAAGCAGACGATTAAATAAGCTATCTCTTTCTTGAGCCCTCTATGACTTTCTTTATGTATGGTTCCTTAGTGGTTGGCGGTGTAGTTCACAAAGTGGGTAGTTAAGGTCTCCTCCGTCAGGGACATGTAGAACAAATGAGCTGAACACAAGCTGTCTGTGCAAGGCCACAGAATCAATGCCACACTGGTGCGCGCAGAAGCCAGAAATGGAAGATGGAGTTGAAAACAACATACAAGCATGTGCACAGGAAAGAGATGGCTTATGAGGCCTACACAGTTTGTGTCTGAAGTTGTTTACGTTTGGCTTAAAGATTTCACACACTTCATCATGGATGTTAGCACTTAATTTTCATGCAGAACAAAAGCTCAGGACTGCAAAATGTTTCCTTTCCCAGGTCACATTCTTTCTCTCAGGCAATCACAACAAGCAGAAACACTCAGGCTTGTCCTTTCTCTCCCTTGATTTCAACGAGATCCCAAGCCAGGCCCCAGGGTGCTTGGTACCCTGCTCTATGGTCACAGATGATTACTTCATTTCCTTGGTCTCCTCTACGGATTCACTCAGAGTCTTTGCTTCTGAGGATGCTTTGCTACTCAAAGTCATGAAAATGTTAGAGTGTAATGGTAACCAGCTAACCATATCTACTCTAAGGAACAGAAGTGCTGAGACTTGGCCTTCTGGAGAATCACAGGTAAGTTGTCTACAAGTGTATATTCCAGCTTGACTGATGATGAACAAGGTCCCTATCCTCACCAGTCACTGTGGAACCAGGGGAATCATGAACCTTTTTAAAGTTACCTTGTACCTTAACATGGAAGTGAACTTGGGGTGTGTGTGTGTGGGGTGGGTGAGTGGGTAGAGGACTCAGAGTTTACATGAGGTTTTCCCAGGGATTCATGGCTCAAGGAAGCTTAGAGTTAAATGATTTACTTTTAGGTTCAACATATATCTGCTGGGAAGGAGATCATCAATAAGAAAGTGTCTCTAGCACAGTTATCAATGAAGAGGTTGGGCGTACCTAAATTCCAAGCTTGAACTTGCCACTTTTTTCAGCTGAAAAGTTTGTTTCTTAAAAAAAAAAAAAAAATTAAAGCCTAGAGGTTTTGTGAGGGACTGATTGACTTGATTTTACCAAATGAGATACATCTTGATACTTACAGCTACAATTAAAAGAACCAGGGGGCATATGGAGCCAGGGGCATGAAATCATGTTCTTTTTCTGTCTTCCTCCCTTCCTCTGGCTCTTCCCCTACTTCCCCCCTCCCACTGGGGATTGAACACTGGGCCTTCTGAGTATGCTAAACAAGTGCTGGGCCACTGAGTTCCCTAGTTCAAAACAGTCTTCTTTCTTTCTTTCTTTTTTTTTTTTTTTTTTTTTTTTTGTGACAGGGTCTCATGTAGTAGACTGGCCTTGAATATGATGCATAGCAGAGGCTGACTCTGAATTCTTCACCCTCCAACCTCTTCTCTCCAAGTGCTGGGTCACAGGTGTGCATCACCACTATGCCTGGCTCCAAATAATTTTTCTTAAAGACTTTATTTTAAAATGTTCAATGATCCAAATAGGAATCCAAAGTCTTGTGGTCAAGATTTCTTCATCCCACTTCAAATCTGGATTCTAATATAGAGACTTATGCCTCCATTCTAGACTGTGTAATACAAACTGGCTTGCAATCACACATCTATTCAGATTTATTCTGTGGTAATAGCTTCGTGTCAGAGAAACCAGAGTGAAAGAGATGTCACGACAGTGGCTGCTTCCAAACAGAAGGAGGCAGAGGGCAGGGCTGAGCTGACAGTTTTTGTTCAGTGTAAGGAAAGAATAAAATGACAGAGATTTTCTGGAAAGTATAATTTCAACAGTGGGCCCAATAGCACAGTGAATTTTTTTTCCAGTGAAACCTCTTCGATATTACAAAAATAATCTTAGTTATACTTTCAGATGATAGGAAGTCAAAGTCTCTTAAGAAATCTCTGTGTCTATTTATCACTCTATACAAACATGTTTCTGTGTATGTGTATGTATACATAAGCAGCATAGACTATAGAACTGTATGTATATGGTATATTTGCTTTCTATTTTGGCCTACTGCATCTTTTATTAGAGCTCTGTAAATAAGAAACATATTCATGGTCTGACTGCAACTGATGGCTTTGGGTTGATGTCAAGCCCCTAGTCAAGTCTATGATTATTTATGGTTTTTAAACTTCCTTAAAAAGTAATTTGAAGCCAGGTGGTGGTGGCATAAGCTTTTAATTCCAGCACTAGGAAGGCAGAAGCAGGCAGATCTCTGTGAGTTCAAGGCCAGCCTGGTCTACAAAGTGAGTTTCAGGACTGCCAGTGCTGTTAACACAGAGAAACTGTGTCTCAAAAACGAAGTAAAATAAAAACAAAAGTGCTTTGGAACATTTCCATAAAAAAGATACCAGCCCTTGAAAAACTCTGATTAAATTTACGCTGAGCCCAGAGTAGATGGCTAAATACTACATATGAAAATATCCACATATAACTATGTGTTCAAATACAAAATGGTCACATGATGGGTGGTGTGGAAATTTGGCAGTTACATCTTGGAGGTGTTCAGAGGACATAGTGGAGACATGCAAATGATGAAGGCCACACAGCAGCATCACACATGATGAATGGTGAGACTCTAACAATATCCCACGTGGCAATTTAGTGTTAGTTCTTCCCACTGTTTTTTTTCTTCTTCTTCTTCTTCTTAAAGTTCAACATTACATATTTGATGAGTGAATTCACTGATGACAGGTGAGATACAAAATAACTTAAAAATATAAAATATCTAATTACATTCATCCTGAGCTTGCTTGACTATATACTTGATTGCCCATGGTATATTATAAATCATATGACTTTTGCTTTCAACATCAATTCTTCATTCATTTTGATTGCAAGACAAAAATAAAAAAAAAAGGCATTTCTGTTCCCTTATTTTCTTCTAAAGAGATAAACAGTTGTGGCACCAGAAGTGAATATATAAGAGACAGGTGAACTGTACATATGACTGTTACCTTGTTTTTCTTTATAATGACCAATTACAGAAGTTGGCATGAGAAGGATGTGGGACGTTAGGTAGAACTGCTTGCTGCCGGCTTATACTGAATAAAAAGGATGTTCTTCATCAGTCACCAGTGATGGAACCAATGTGAAAAGAAAACAGAATTGAAGTTTAGAATATCACATCTTGTATGCTGGCTACTTTATCTCATTTTGCAATTTAGCCCTGTCTCCTCAACACTCGATAACAAGGCAGGAGTCCCAAGATGCCTGCTGGTATGGAGAATGCTTGAACCCGGTTGTTCCCCAGAGCTCATGGCCTCCTGTGGTGCCTGGTGACACACACTCATCTCTAAGCCCTTTCTGTCCCCTCCCTTCCCAACAAGTGTGAACATGCCTTAAAACCCTGTTATTTAGCTCTGGGCCAGATGGAATGCTTGCTTGACCTGTGGCCCGAGGTTACCTTTGAGTTAACATCTCCCAAGGCATTGTTTTGCTCAGCTAAGAGTAAAGCAGGTATAACTCAAGGAAGGGGGAACAAGGTGGATATGGGGAGAATTTTAGTGCTGGATTCTCGAGCCTCCTGCAACACACGGTAAGAAGGTTTAGTTGTGCTTGCTTTCAAAGCTATGGAAAGCCGACATTCTAGACAGTCTTCTCATGGATAGGCTATCCCCTCGGCCCTCCGGCTTGGAGGACTTACTTCTCTGGAAGGGATTTCGTAGGCTTGAGGTGTTCCTCTGTCTATCAAGCTTGTCACTGATGGAGAAGCTCTTCCTGGTATGTGCATATGGCGCGCTTGGCTCCTCTGCTGAGTAGCTGTTGGCGCGCTCTATCTTAGGAACTGTGATGTTGTTGGATAGGGTTCTGTCTGCATTTTCAGCCTCCTGAGAGGAGATTGGATTGGCAGCTCTCCGGCCTCTGGCCTCATTTTCCTCACTGTCAGAGCTAGGATGGCTCAGCTCTGCTTCTCGCTCAGGGTGGCAACAAGATAAGTCCTCTACTTTGTCTCCGAGACCTCCAGGGAAGGTGGCTCTGTCAGCAATCGCTTGAGGGGCATTGACACACCTTGTGTCAATACAGTCTGTAATACTTGTGTATTCTGCTGTTTTCACGGGCACCCCAAAGTTGGCATAGTAACTCCTTGAAGGAGAAAACATAAAGCTATGGGATTTTATAATGGGGGCCTCTTCCAGAAGAAAAGGTGTGGTTGCTAGGTAGCGGCTACTCTTGGAACGCTCGATGGTATGGTACATTGGAGGGTCGGTGTCCCAAGGGTTTTGGCACTCTGGGAGGTGGGTATAGTCTGAAGAAAAGGATCTAGTGTCCATGGAGGTGAGATCTTCAAAATCAATGCTCCTGCTTGGAGGCCGGTCAGTAGGTGCAAGGGTTGCATAGGCACTACTTGAAGGGGCTGTGGAAGGCGCTAGAGCTGAAAAGCTAGGTTCGCCCAGCCCAAGGATGTTCATGGAATTATCCAGAGGGTCTATATCACAGTGGAGCTCATCCATGGCAGAGACATAGATGTCTATGCAAGACGAAGGTCTTCTGGAGTCAGGAACAACGGCCAAGGTGTTTGCAGGGGCTGCAGGAGCTTTGGGTTCTTTGGCTACTGAGTGGGAGCTAGTAGCTCGGTGTAAGCTCAGGGACCTTTCCTTGAAAATGCTTTCCAACTTTTCTATACCACCTTTGTCTTTCACATTGACTGAATAGAAAGAATGGCTTCGCATACGGGGCATTAAGGTTGGAGAAGTTGGGGACATGGTCTCCTCACCTGCAGGGTCTATACTCTCTTGAAGTTTGAAGGTGTTCCCCTCCTGGCTGTTGAAGCTGCTCTGGCGGACGATGTAGGCTGCATCTGTGCAGTCTGAGGAGGTCCTTGAGCGGATCTTATTGGACTCTGCCCGCTCCAGACCGGTTAGACGCTCCAGGGCTGTGGCCATGCGCCCGATGAGATCTTCCAGCTGTGCCAGCCGGATGTCCACAGTCTGAAGTGAAGCCTTCATAGAGTGTTCTCTCTCATTAACTTCCTCCAGCCTCATGGACATGTTCTCCACCCTGTACCGAGAAGCAGAGAGTAAGAGTCACTTGGGCCAGGCTCCTCTGCTGGGGGTGTTAGAGGATAAAGCTAGAAAATGGCAAAACTGTGCTCTTCTCCAAGAGGAAATCAGCAGGGGTTATTATTGCGGTTAAAACCTACTCGTAACAGGTTATGGGGTAAAGGGAGGGGCTGAAGGGGCGAGAATGCAGGAGTCATGGGTAAAGGGAGGGGCTAAAGGGGAGAGAGTGCAGGGGTCATGGGTAAAGGGAGGGGCTAAAGGGGAGAGAGTGCAGGGGTTATGGGTAAAGGGAGGGGCTAAAGGGGAGAGAGTGCAGGGGTTATGGGTAAAGGGAGGGGCTAAAGGGGAGAGTGCAGGGGTTATGGGTAAAGGGAGGGGCTGAATCACAGGATCTGAATGTTTTTGTGCTGGAGGACATTTTGGAAATGACCTCATCCAGGGGTTCTCTTTAGTTTTAGTAGTAATTTTGAAAAGATGTCTCTCTGTGTTACGCAGACTGGACTTATCTCCCAGTGATACTCTCCCTTCAGCTTCCTAAGCAGCTGGGACAGCAGGCAAGCTCCTCCATGCCTGCCATAATCCAGAGGATTTTAGCTTCAGTTCAGCGTACCCTAGGTGCTGCTACCAAGAAGTATTTAGTGCTAGAAGAGTAGTAAAGAACAGAGTAGTTACTCTTCTGTCATCCTTTCTGGAGCCCAGTGGACAGGGGGTTGATATCTGAAGGGGATAATGGTCCTATTTTGGCATAACTACATGTGATCATTGGTCTAAGGGCTGAGAGATGTCTGTACCATGGCCTGGATGGTGGGGCCTCTTTGTCTACTGTCTTCAGAATTACGGTCCTGGATCACAGAGAAAAGGAGAAAGTGAAAGTCAGAAGCATTGAGGCTTAAGGAGGCGGGGGGGGGGGGGGGTTCAGCTGGACTCAGACCCAGGAATCAGGGAGAGTAAAAAGAAGCTGGGGTACAGAGGGAAGAGGCTCTCCAGGTACACTAGAAAAGTTCTGATGGGAACCATAAAAGCAAAGCATCACAGACTAAGAAAACAGAGCTAACAGAGCTAGAGCTGGCAGCCAGCTGCAAAGGGGCTGAACTCTCTCTCTCTCTCTCTCTCTCTCTCTCTCTCTCTGTCTCTGTCTCTAATATACGTACATAAAGGGTCTCTATAGCTCTGGCTGTCTTAGAACTTGCTATGTAGACCAGGCTGACCTTGAACTCACAAATATTTGCCTGCTTCTGCCTCCTGAGTGCTGGGATTAGAGGCATAACACACTTCACGCAGTTCAAGAACTATTTTTAACCAATTCTTACTACTTCTCTGTGCTCCTATGCAGTTGCAGTTGGTATGTTAAATCTTGTAGAAAACAGGGAGGGCCAGTGTTAACCCATTTTCATCCACCATTCTGGGTATGATTAAGTATCTAGCCATCCAGTAGACTAATGATGGGGACATGGACCTAACTGCAAGGAGCTTTGAGTCAAATTAACTTTAAGTTTATTCTGTAACTAGACAGCTTCTTTTAAACTTATCTTTTTCCTTGAAAAGTTTAGGACCAGTGAGATAGCTCAGCAGGTAAAGTCTGATTGTCCGAGTTTGACCCCTGGATGTACATGATGGAAAAAAGAAGCTACTCCTACACACACACACACACACACACACACACACACACACGTGCGCACACACACACACACACACACACACACACACACACACACACACAACCAACATATTCAGTCATGACTGTGGCCAGCCAGCACTGATTATGGTCAAATAGCTTAAGCAACAGAATGCAGACACAGCTGATAAGAACTTATGAATCAATAGGAATCCTCAAGAGATAGACACATACAGTGACTAAGTTAAAGAAAGAAGGTCATTGTGAAAATCACGATGTTATATGGAAAGAAACCTGTCTTTAGCTTTCCTTCCGCCCCTCACATCTCCAGATGGAAAGTGGTTCATTTCAGATTAACTCAGAAGGTGATGACAACAGGGTACAGAGAAGATGAGAGGTGGCACATGCTCACGAAAAGGGAAAAAACTCTTAGTTCTTCTGATTTCAAATCCCTTCACTCAGATTGTATAACACAAGGGTACAATTACATAATATTCTTTCTGTTATATGGACTCTGTACAATCAGGAGTGAAATGCAACCATAATCATTCCTACTGATGTATCTACACACAGACCCATGTGTGTGAGATTTTTTTCCCCCCAGCTCTCCTTGTCTCCATTAAGAGGCTGTGGATAAGGCAGATAATATGAACCTCCACTCCACTCAGAACAGACATATCCTGGAGGATACTGATGTAACCAATTTGGATGCCCTGGTCTCTTGGTGGGTTCCCAATGCATCCAAGTCACTTCTGTTGTGCTTACATATCATCCCATTGTTGGAAGTTGCTAGTTTTTGGTTTTCTTAGAGATGCGAAGAACCCAACAATAACCACAGTAAAGCTCCAAAACTCTGTAGAAGCCACAGAATCAGAATGAGGACTGGGCTTGTGGCCCTGAGCTTGCTCAGGAGGCCATGCTGGTTCTTGAGGCCTGGTCTTCCTATTGCCCCTGAACTAGGAGAGCAGGATTTTATTTCATTTTGCATCCCTGGTACCTTCTCACTCCACTAACACTCTGAGAAGCCACCTTGGCAGGCCAAGGGAGGGAGCAGTCCTGCAGGGTTTGCTGATGTGGAGAGACTGGTTTCTTTCTGGGTTTCTCAGAAGGAGATGTTGACATGGTCATAGTATATTCATGTGTGCCAGCATCTGGGCCTCCCTATCCTATTTCCTCAGAGAGGCAAAGACTTCCTGGCATCTTAATATGCCTTTCCCATCCTGCCTATTTTTCTTTTCTTTTTCTTTCTTTCTTTCTTCCTTCCTTCCTTCCTTCCTCCCTTCCTTCCTTCCTTCCTTTTTCTTCTTCTTCTTCTTCTTTTTTTTTTTTTTTGCCTACTAGGCCTATAGTTTTTCTGAATTCAAAAAGCATTTGAAAGACCTGAAGACATATGCTGAGAAAATGTGTCTCAACTATGGTAATATTCCCACATGGCACAATTTTCTGGAAGCACACGGCTGTATGTCCATTCATAAACAGCTTTCCAAGGCCTCAGAATGAGAGAGAGCTTTGGAATATCATCTCCTTCCTCTGTTTGCCAGAGAACTACTTTATAGCATATCTCTATTTTCTAGTGGTAGAGGTGAGTAAAATCCATGCACACCCTTAACACTTATTAATGTTGGCCTGGTACCTATGGATACAACCACTCATTGGCATACATGATTATACATACATACACAGTCTGCAGTTTTAAAAGAAAGAGAAAGGGGCCAAAAAAATTGCAATTTATGTGATTTCTACACAGTTAATAAAGACTCTTTGATGTGGGCACACAAAGTGCTGTTTCATGAAGGTTAGAAATAAGTCCCTTTAAATCTTTGAAGTGCCATGCACGCTGACTGCAGCTACCAGTCTATGATGTCCTACACGATTTACCATTTGTTCTTTCTGTCTTTATAGTATAAACAGTTAAAGTGTAGTTACATTAGTTCTTTGTGACACTCTCTGAGTGTTCTTTTGGAAGCTAGTCCCAAAGCTGGGTTATGAATATACCAGCTGGGAATGGTGGTTTTATTAGTCTATAGTAACGTAAGAGACACAAGAAAATGTAAGAGTGGTTGCCCAGATTTAGAACTGTTTGATATCAAAATTTCTGTGGTGAGTGTGTATGTGTGAGCATGTGTGTGTTGCACATTACTTCTGGGGAGTGGGCAGGATCTCTCTCTGAATCTGGACCTTGCATTTTTTTTTAAAGTTAAGCAAGCTCCAGTAATGCTACTGTCCCTACCCCTGGCATCACCATGGCCACTGGTGCACACAAGGCCATGCCTGTCTTGTGATATAGATGCTACCACCTGAGCCCAGGTGCTCCTGTTTGTGCAGAAGAGTTTTCATATAGATCTCTTGGCTCTCAAAGCCATTTGTTAAGTGATAAATGAACCTGGATAGAAAAATTTGTACAGATTTCTTTATTTTTAATCTTTTCTATAAAAAGGAAAACAACAAAAACAGTTCTTGGAAAAATACCAATCATTATTCTCAGTGATTGACAGAACCCTTGCTCTTGCTTATTCTAGAAGGCATGGGGCTTTTCTCTTCTGGGTAAGAATACTCAGTAATCTATAGTATGAAACATAAACCTGTTGAAGACTAAGTTGGGGCTGGGCCTTCTTTGCTTTATGTCTGGGACAGAACTTTCCAGTTTCTGGTCCAAGACAGATCTGTCCTAGACTCACCAATGCTGTGTCCAGGCAGGAGCTTTCACTTTGTCCTGAAAAAGTCCAGGGTCTTTAAGTCTGGACCTTATTCTGTGGACTCATCAGACAATGATCTCTTTCAGGATGTCTGTGTTTTCTTGGGCAGTAAAAATATGTAAAAGAGGTCTGTGTTTTGGATATGTGAGAATTAATTCATATGGTAACATGGACAGTGGTAGGAAGCATCGATGTGAGGCAGAGCCAGCGAACACACCTTTCTGACGTCACCCGGATCCTCTCATCATTGGATGAATTGAAGCGATCATCCTTCTCTCTGAAATACTCCTCTATGCACTGCTCTTCAAAATCGTGTACTTTCTTGAGCTCATCATCAGTTATGAAGAGTTCTGAGAGGGAGAGGAAAAAAAAAAAAAAAAGAGAGAGCCATGAGACAGAGCAGGGACTGCAACAACATCTGGTCTGTGGCCTAATGACTATTTTAAAGAAATCCAGGCTGGGGGAAGTCTACCAGATTCTATTGTGAGTTCCAGACAGAATCCAAATCTAATTAGGCCTTTTGAAACACCAGCTCCTTCCTGAACTGTAGTTGTTGTGGTTTCTGGAGCCCACCTGGGTATTCCTGGGTACCATAGGAGCTGGGCTTAATTAAGGAAGCAGCAGTACTGACAGCATGGGGAAAACAAGGGAAAGAAAGCATCTGGGAGTATGATATTTCTTAAAGGCTCCAAATTTTCTGGGCTGTGTAGTGTGACATGTCAACATTATTGATTAATAATCTTTATGCAACCCAGTTCTCTCCCTGTCTCCCCCCCCCCCCACTACAGAGGTAGGGAAGCCAAATGAACACATTCCTCGTCATCCCTGAAATTACTTGCAATCACAAGACTCAGTTTAAATCAAGAAATGAAAGAAATCTACTGCATGGAAGGATGGTGTGTCCAACAGAGATTTTGCTCCTGATTTAAAAAAAAAAAAAAAACATGGTTACTCTTTCTATATTTTTTTCAGCTTCCTTTCTTTTTCCTGACTTCAACATAAGCATTTGGTGATGGGGGCCTCGACAACTATTCTGTGACTTTGAAAACAACATCACACAAAAGGAAAAGCTGAGCTGAAAACTAGAAGTTTGGGTCTTTGACCTCAGTGAGCCATGGCTGAACTTTGGACCATCTCCTCACTCTCTGTTATGTAAGAACAAGATGCCTTCTTTATTTTTGCTATTGTTTGCTATTCTGGATTTCTCATAGAAGGTAAACATTTCCATTAATAATACAACAACAGAAGAACTGTGGACATTTAAATGGTTTCTGGAACAGGGTTAGGACAAGAGAGTTGTGGATATTCCCCAAATCAGGAAGTCATTCCCATCCTGGGCCACTGAGATGCAGTAGGGTTGAATCTCAGCTCTGTGGGCCTGTGTGGCCTTAGATCACTCTTGCTTGTCAAGAAACTTTGGTTGGAACTTGCCAGGGGCTGTAAAATATGTCTGGAAGAGCTGCTGGAACTATAGAAAATATCAGAAGTCAGACTGCATTTCTCAAATATGGCAGGCTCCTAAGGTGAGGGACAGCTGTGACAGGTAGGGACACCTGAGATGTGGTCATGCACTCAGTTACATAGAGCCATAAACATCAGGGTCAAGAAGGAGAGAGGCCATGTATAGACTCCCTCTTTGACCTCAAAGACCCATGATGTCCTCTGCTAGGGATGTTTCTGAGATCCAAAAACACCTTACAAGTGCCTTGTTTGACTTCTTGACTCTCTCTTTGTAGCAGGAGTTCTAATAGGTCTCAATAATAAAAACCCGGAGTTAGATATCAGGGTATATGCTGAAAGATCAGAGAAGTAAAGAGAAACCTCTTACCTCCACCAAATCCTCAAACCAAATGGGTGATCCTGTCTCTAGGAATCCTCAGACTGAATGCAATGAGCTCATGTCTCCTCCTGCCTTATACTCCTCTCTCTGCCCAGCCATATCATATCCGTCTCCACCTCCCTACTCTACTGCTGGGATTAAAGGTATGTGATCCCAAGTGCTGGGATCAAAGGTGTGAGCGTTGTTTCTCTTTAGACTAGATCAAACTCCTGTATCCCAGGGTGGTTTTGAACTCTCAGAGTTCTACCTGCCTCTGCCTCCCAAGTACTGGGATTAAAGATGTGTGCCACCACTGCCTGGCCTCTGTGGCCAACTAGTGGCTAGCTCTGTACTCTGATTTTCAGGCAAGCCTTATTTGTTAAAGCACAAACAAAATCTCTCTCTCTCTCTCTCTCTCTCTCTCTCTCTCTCTCTCTCTCTCTCTCGTGTGTGTGTGTGTGTGTGTGTGTGTGTGTGTGTGTGTGTGTGTGTGTGTGCTGAAGTATTACTGCTGTCTTTGTGCCTGGCATTTATGTGCAAGCTCTGGATCCAGATTCAGATTGTATAAAAAGCCCTTTACTGACTGAGCCAAACCCCAAGCTCCATGCTGCTTTAAAAAAAATATTCTTTAAAAAGCCCTATTACCATGTCAGATTTTACCCTATAACTCTCAGTTTACTCTTTTTGAGGCTCAGCAAGAATTTGGCAGTGCTCTGGGATCTTTTAATGACAGCTACAGACTGATGGGGAGAACTTCTTTCTTCCCTGATGGGTAGACACATGCAGGGTCTGCCTCTCTGCTCTTCACTCTTCTCATCCTGTCACATTTTCAAGATCCTCCTTCTGGGAAGGAAGTCTCTGAGGAGCCTGTCACCTGCTCCTCCCTGCCACATGTCCAGAGACCTGGTGATACATCCAATGCTACTCTGGCTGAAAATAAGAGAGCCATGAATATGGCTGGGGGTGGTGGTACCTGCCTTTAATGCCAGAACTTGGGAGGATCCAGTGAATTACTAACAGTCAACAGTATGGTGGCAGCCCCATTTATATAGGGAGTTACAAGGTAGCCAGGCTATACTGTGAGACAGGGTCTCAAAACATAAAACACAAACACAAATCACATATATTCTAGAGTTTGGTGGAGCGTCCTTGGACCTATGAAATGTGCTCTGAAGTAGAAAAAGGAGTCTGTACTGCCCCAGCTATGGTTTGAACATGAAATATCCCCCTTAGACTCATGTGTTTGAATAGCTAGTCTTTAGAGGGTCATAATGTTTTGGGGTATGTAAGGTCTGTTTGGGTCATTGTAGATGTATCTTTAAGATTCATAGCCTGGCAAGGATGCTTATTTAGTTTTTTCTGCTCTCTGATCTCCCAAGGTGTGAGGAGCTGCGTGGCCCTCATACTGTTGCAGCTATGGAGATCCATTGACGCCAGGCCTTCCTTGCCATAATAAATTACATCTCTATAAACTGTGGAATGTGCTAAGTATCTTTCCTTTTAGTTCCTTTTGTTAAGCTTTTGGTCACAATGATGATAAAAATAGCTCACACAGGCCTCTGTCATGTACTGTACTTTGAGTCATCTTGTGCCTGATAGCTGAGCAAAGTTTTCTACTGCAAATGCTCATGCTTTATTGAAATTGACTTGGAGCCCTGAGTTGACCCCCCAGTGCAATCTTCTCTATTATTATTATTATTATTATTAAATTTATTTTACATCCTAACTGTAGTTTCCCTTCCCTCCTCTCCTCCTCTCTTCTCATATCCCCCCTCCCATAGTCCCCCCTCTGCCAGTGCAATACTCTTACAGCATTTCTTGACTAGGATTTGTAGGATTTGACCATGCTGGAATGATTTGAGTACAAAATATCAGGGTACCCAGCTTTCTATTTGCCTAAACTTGTGTTTCAGAGGGAAATGGTAATGGAATTGCCAGGTCTTTCCAATGGTCCAATTTGAATGTCTAAAAAGAAGTTGGGCATTGCTTTGTTAGGGAGATCATCGAGAGCTTTAGGCTTAGAGAAACAGTTCTCTAAGGGACTCTTGTTTTAAACCATTGGTATACTGGTATCCCAGGGATGGATGTAGAATCCTGGACCATTATTCCAGAGGCTTCTGACTGTCGATTTAATGTAGATGTAGGCTTAACACATTTGGAAAAAGTACAGTAGATTGTCTATAAGTCATTGCATTTCCAGTGGCTCCTGAGAGTTGGTGCCCGGGGGCATTTAGGAGCCTGCAGGAGCCACTGGTACTTGATGTGCAGAGATGGATATGCTAATTCTTCTGCAATGTGTGACACATTCTTACATAGTGAGGAACTCTTCCAGCCCAATGCCATCCAAACCTCCCTTTAGAAACACTAGGCTAAAAGGAGAGTGGTGGATGGTAGGTAGTGGAGAGGCTGTTGTTCTCTCCTTTGAAAACATGGCCCATTCTCCACAATATCATATAGGTATAATGCCGAAGGCTTAGAAAACATTTAAGATCTGGAATAATGATAAGCCCCAGAAATGAGCACGGAAGAATAAAAGTCAGGCCACACTGCTTAAAAATGATTTCTAATAATAGCACTTGGTACATAGTACCAGACATAGTAATGTCTGATTTGTGGCAGGATCCTTGGAAAGTAAGAAGTATATGAAGGTGGTAAACTTGCTCTGCTGGAGAGTGATTTTCTCTTACTAAGAAGTGGCTAAGAATTCTGGCTTCAGCTCATGCTATGCTGTCTTCCTTCTATCCTGTCTCATTAAGCAAGTCCTTTCCTATTCCCCTCAATATGCAGGAGGCAGGAGAACCAAGGAGGGCATAGGTCCCCCTGACTCCCTATGGGGATTGCTGGGAACTTCCAGCTGCAGGTGCCGGCTAGCTGCTCACTCAGGCCGTAGTCTCTTTCATCTGGGTCACTCTCGTGCTTCCTCCACCGACAACACACATGTTGGAATATCATGGTCATGTGGCTGAAGATGATGAGTGGTGGGGGCAGAACTGGCCTCTCGTGGAAAGTCATGATGAGTTGGTACCTCTGAAATTTCCATACTTGGTTGGATATTGACTTTACCTCAAAAAATGTATTGCTGAAACAGACCAGAGAGTCATATGACCAAAAATAATCATTACTTTTTGAAATATCAGCTCCCTCCCTTTATGTTGCCCATGCATCCACCCGTACGACTGAAGAAGTGGCCACTCACTTGAAGACGGCAATAAGGAGGTTGACCAGAAGGATGTTTGCCACCAGGAGGTAGCAGGCCATGATGGCTGGCACAATCCATGCTCCTGTCTTGCATGGGGGCAGCTGGATTGTCTTGCCATCTTCTCGGGTCTCATTCTGGCCACAGGGAGCTAGAGGAAGTGACAGACACAGTTAAAAAAAAAAAGAGAAACCATGGAAATTTAATTGAAATTATACAGAGAGATTTTAGATGAGGGGTTTAAATGGAAGAAAAAAAAAATACAGCCACCTCCAACAGCAAAAGATTTCAAAAAGCCAAAATAGGAAAATGAGAGCTTCATGAATATTCAAAGGGCCACCACTCTTGAGGAGAGGCAGTTCCACCTGTGTCTGTCATCAAACTGTAAGAGGTATCTAGAGCCACCTGCCTGGTCCCTTAGTCCCTTGGCCCCTGGCAGTGGTGAGGAGGGCATTTGGTATTCCTAAAATGCTTGGTGAGGGCTTTTGGAGAAGCCAGAGTCCTACCTCCTGGCAAGTTACTTTCAAAATGTGCTGTAGAGGCCTCCAGCGGACAGCTTGGAGCCAAGCATGGCAGGCTATTGATTGGAAATTAACACCAGGGCAACTGTTAATTGCTGTGAGAAACAATCCACGGCCTCAGCCAATGATTTGCTGTCTCAGTACAGAAGGAACAGTACAGGGCAGCACCCTGGGAAGCACCTAGAAAGCTTGTCACTTGGTGCCCCTGATGAATGAGGAGGATAATAGGGAATGGGGTGACAGGGAGGGACCACAGAACCCAGAGCTACTTCTTAAAAACAAAACAAAACAAAAAAAAAAACCAAAACAACAACAACAACAAAAAACAAACCAACCACATTTTTATTCCAAGTATGTACATTTCAGAGACAAGACATAAAACCTAATTGTAGCAATAACCAAACAGCAAAGGCAGGGGTGTCCAGGGAGATGTGGAGGTGGGAATGGGGAGGAAGACGATGTGTGGGATTGGGTGAGCAGAAACAATGCACTAATGAGGCCAGCTTGGAGTTTCCTGGTAAGTGTGTGTGTGTGGGTCCCCAATAAGGCTTTATAGCCCTGTGAACTGTGGCTCATAGTGCCTGTTACTGTTGTTTGTTGCTGTGAAGAGACAGTGACCAAGGCACCTTATAAAATAAAGCATTTAGGGGAGGGGCCTGCTTCCAGTTTCAGAAGGTTAGTCCATGACCATCATGGGGAGAGCATGCCAACAGGCAGGCAGCCATAGCCTGGAGCATTAGCTAAGAGCCCACATCTGATGAATGGACAACAGGCAGAAAAAAAGAGAGAGACTGGGCCTGGTGTGGGCCTTTGAAACCTCAGGGCCCATCCCTAGTGGCTCATACCCTCCCACAGGGTCACACTTCCTCCAACAGGGCCATGCCTCCTAATCCTTTCTCAACAGTCTACTAGCAGGGAGCCTATGGGGGCCATTCTCATCCAAACCACCAGCTGCTTTACCTTGGCCTTTGAACAGGGTAACCTCATGTCTGTTAGCAGTGGGTAAGAGCACCCCAGAAAGCCCCGGCAGCTCCTATAGGCTTAGGATGTGGAAGGAGGGTTGGCATGGGGGATCTACAAGACTTGAGTAGAACAGCAAGGGGACCCCATTCTTCTCCAGAACTCCTTCTGCCATGCATTGCACTTTGCAGGGTTCTCATCTCTGAATACCCAGGGGTATTCAGATAGTTTGAAGCACTACTAACATCCAGCTCTTACCCAGAATTGAACTAAAAGCCCCCTGGGGTCATAGGTATGCCATTTCTTCTTAACCTCTCTCATCACTTGCCACAGAGGTTGAGTAACTGAGTTTTTAGTTAGGCTGGAAAAGTCACACAAGGGTTTTTTTTTTTTTTTTTTAATTAAAACACACCTTTGCAGCTGGAAAGGGTTTTATTAGCACCAGGCCACCAAGATCCTGATTTTATGGCCAGGATAAGATGGCCAAACCACTCTCTTTGGCTCCATATGCCAGATAACTGGATGTGGGAATGTGTGTTTTCTGGAAGGCAGAATCTTGAACATAGCCACCAAACCTTAGAGTAAAGCAAGTGAGTTCTAGAAGCGGCACCATAGGGCAGTGTGAGCACAGAGGGGGAGTTTGGCTATGACTACTGAATCTACACAGTTACAGTCAAATTTGAAGGGATCCCTGTGCCTCATCTATGTGGGTCATGCTGACACATCACAGGGAAGAAACTGGAAGCGCCAGTTCCCGCTAATGATGCATTCATAGGTAGAAATGGACAATTGGGCTTTGGAACACACTGATGGGCTGGCTATCACAATCTGGCAAGAGTATATGGGCGATGAGAAAAGCTACTCCCATACATTGTGGAACAGCATTCCAGTGATTGGAACTGCCCCTCCCCCATAAGCCTTAATAACAGCTAAGGGGCTGAGCATATAGCTTATGATAAGAGAACTTACCTAGCATGAGTAGGACCTTGGCTTCAATTCCCATAACTGAAATAGGTAGAACCTAATCTGAAATAAGGATCAACACCATCTTTCCTAGAATATAAGCCCTGAGACCCGAGTTTTTAATTTCTCTTGTTCACCAACAAGCCTCCTGAGCACAAGCTGGCACATACACTTGCTGAACAGAGAGATGCAGCTAAACATGGTGATGCTAGACACCTGGGTGCAGTGTCATGCATTTCTCTAAGTGCAAACTGATGTCTATTACCAGGTCAGAGTCTGAGTATCTGTCCTATTTACTCTTAGGCCTCATCTTCTATCATAGGAAGCAAAATCCTGACAGAGGGAAAAAAATAGGATTTTCCTCCCAAAGACTTTGCCCAGAACAATACAACTCTATATACTGTTGTATAACCCTCCACAGCAAACCAGCCTTCCTACCTCATCCAGTACTCACGCTAGACATTGCATAATAAACCTTACATTCTCTCTCTTTCAGCCAAGATGTTACTTTGGAATCCTTCTCTAGATAAAACTCTTGGAAGTATGGCCAATGAACTGTAATTCACACAAGGCACAGGACCATCCTTAGCCCTTTGCAAAATAGTAATGAAAGGGTTGGGGTAAAAGATATTTCCTTCCTATCTCTCTTAAGGCTCCCACTCAAGTCCACAAGGTTTGGCTGACCTTTGGCCTATATCCACTCTTTCTCATGCGGCCTTGCCGTTGTGCTAACACTAGAAGCAGCTACTGCATGCTCAAATGCAAGGTCTTGAACTTAAGGTATGATCTCCATAAATTTTTGACATGATAGAAGGTCAGAAAGCTTCAAAACCTTTGCTAGTGTCTCAGGAGAATTCAAGAAGAACAATGGAGCCATCCATACAAGCCAGGTCCATGACAGTCTCTTTCCTCAGTGCCTCTGGAGAGGGAACAGTGCAAAGATAGGGGAGCCTCTGAACTACACACAAACCAGGGGATTTGATAGGCACCTGGTGTTTTTTTGTTTTCTCTTTTTTGTTGTTGTTCTTATATGAGTAACCATCCTGAACTGTTGAGATGAAGGTAGAGGTCAGTGGTGCTCTTTCAAGGTTAGAGCACGAGAGGGAGAACAGGCTCAGAAGCAGGAGGAGAGGCTGGTGTCCCCCAAGTTTAGACCCTTGCCTTTTATTTTTCTCTCCTCCTGTAATATTCAGTGAAAGAAAATGTTTATTGATTTATTGCACATACCACATTGCTCCCTCAAAATCAGAAATATTTAAACGTAAAGACTGGCCGATGTTTGGAATGACTGACAGTATTCTTAAAGATAAGACAAAGAGAGTTGTTAAGGATGATCACTTCCTCTCACATCTGAAAAATGCCTATAAGCTTAATCCCAAAAGAGTTAGTTGAATATCTGATTTTTGTTTGTTTTTTGTTTTGGATACAGGGTTTCTCTGTAGCTTCAGAGCCTGTCCTGGAACTTGCTCTGTAGACCAGGCTGGCCTCTAACTCACAGAAATCCCCCTGTCTCTTCCTCCTGAGTACTGGGATTAAAGGCATGTGCCACCAATGCCCGGTGAATACCTTATGTTTTAAATTCTATTTTATTTTTTAAGAGAATGGTTTTCAACTAAAAATCTGTTTTGAAGGCTGGCAATATGGCTCAGTGGGTAAAGGAGCCTGTGGTCAAGGCTGATGATGTAAGGTCCATCCCTGGGTCCTACATGGTGGAGGAAGAAAACTAACTTCTGTAAATTTTCCTCTGACTGTCGCATATGCACCATGACACACTCATGCTCCCTGAAGTAAATAAATAAATAGACAATGTAATAAAGACTAAAAAGTCCATTTTGAAAAGACAAGAAGACAAAGAGGACTACTCTATCAGTGAGGTGGTTTGAAAGAAAATGGCCCCCAGAGGGAGTGGCACTATTAGATGTGACTTTGTTGGAGTAGGTGGCCTTGTTGGAGGAAGTGTGTTATCGTGGGGGTGGGCTTTGAGGGCTCCTTTGCTCAAGCTACACTTGGAATAGCACATAGGCTGCTTCTGCTGCCTGCAGATCAAGATATAGGACTCCCATCTCCTTCTCTAGCACCATCTCTGCCTGCATGCCACCCATCCTGATGATAATGGACTAAACTTCTGAAATGGTAAGCCAGTCCCAATGAAACGTTTTCCTTTATAAGAATTACTGTGGTGATGATGTCTCTTCACAGCAGTAGACATCATAAGTAAGATGATCAGTTTCACTGAAAGATCTGGAGTGCTATGGCCATGGTCCTGGTTCTCTAAGGGATAAAGTTCAGAGAACTTCCCTATATTCTTTTTCATACTATAATAATCTTCAGGAGGAAATAATTGTAGATGCCTCTCTTTGTATTGCTACCTCTTTCCAGAATTTTCATTATTTAAGGGTTTTAGATTGTTGTAGATCTAGGTGGAGCTAAAGACATTTTCTACTGCTTATAGGGGATGGCAGACAGTGTCCCATGTTGTAGTCAAGGACAGAAGTTACAAAGGTAAGTGTAAACCAGGTCAGACTGAATTCTGTACAGAGTGACCATCAGCTAGTTTCTGTCTTATTACTTCTTTTATGACTGGCTTCTTTTCCTAGTCTGTAACTCGGCTGCCAGAGATGATACTGACTTCTTACAACATGGCACAGCAACAGCCATTAGGATTTGGCAGGATGCCTCAAGTCCTACATCTGTGAATGAAGAGAGT